TTTAGCGTTTTGGCTTTAGGGTTTAGGGTTTTGGATTTGTGGTGCATTGCTCGCCGGGCAAGGCAGTGCGATAGCCGTGAGGCTACGATCAAATTCCCTCGGTCATGGGAACCCCTCCAATAGTACAGAGCCATATGCTAAGAAAGCTCTAAGAAATACAACACCAAATCCTGAACCCTGAGATGGCACAGAACCTTCTAACACCTTAGAAGACCCTCTCAAACCTTATCGTGAAGGCTCACCTGGTAGAGTACCTTATGTTAGAAACAGTGCTAGAACCTGTCGAAGCACACCCTGAACCGAAGGTTCAAAACCATGTAAGAGTTGAGAAGGAAGTCTAACATAGGGTCTGACTTGAAGCTTGTCAGGAAAGTGTGAACCGGCCGCCCTTCAGCCGGAAAAGGTCAATAGAGCCACAGGCCATAGGGTCTTAGAGGGTTCTTGGTACAAGGAACGAGACCACTCTGTAAGACCCTAAAACCCTGTCCTGAAAGCTGAAATGGCAACATGGCCTCTTCACATTCTCCTGGCACTCTTCCGGGAGCGGGCCATCAGGCATCGGCACCGAGGGAATCGGAATCACCTCATGGTAGGTTTCATAGGGGTTCCTAGGGTTCTATGAGGGCTCCTTTTCAAGGCTCCTCTAAGGGATCATGTACTTGGAGGACCAATGGGACGTAGCAAGCAAGGCAAGAGTTACCTTACTAAGTATAGATCCTTCGGTATCACTGTGGTTCCTAAGACAGAGAATCCTCGAAGTAAGCTGAAAGTCCCAATATTCTTTAAGTAAGCCTTGGGTATAACCCTAGTTACTAAGTCCAAGACCTTTTTGAAGTAAGGTTTGATTTTCTAGTAACAAAGGCCCTAAACCCTAAACCCTGAACCTATTCATGAAGGAACCGGAATCATCCCGGGGCATCAAACGGAGCAGAACCTGACCGCGGGCGAATCTACGGGCCCCACGCACCAGGGTCTAGAGTTTAGGGTTTAGGGTTTAGGGTTTAGGGTTCGGTTTAGGGTGTAGGGTTATGACACTCTTGGTGCACTTCTCGATTCGTGCGCCGGTGTAGGGTTTAGGGGTTCACGGGCTTAGGGGTTTAGGGGTTTCGGGTCTAGAGTTTAGGGTTCGGGGGGTTGGTTTAGGGTTTAGTTTCGACTTTAGGGCCTGACAAAAACACGGTATGGGGCTTCTTGGGTATATTGTAGCATGGATACACGGGGACCGGAGTGGGATGCTGGAAGTAAACATTCCGACCTCTAGATTAGAGGTTTGGGATGCTTTGGGATTCAGGGTTGAGGAATCAGTGCACAACATAGAGCCCGGACGAAAAACGCAATACTTCGTGGAGGGTGTGTCCTTCAACAGAAGAAAGATACAACGAACTGGTACTGCACATAACGATTGATGAGTTAAACACTGGTACTTACAGATTACCCGTTTGCTTTTCACTCACATCCGGTTCATAGCCAACTCCGACGAAACATTTCACTCAGCCGGGTGCCATAATGCCACTTGACGGTGGGTGCCTTGAAGGCCACTCAGAAAGCACCTGAGCACGTGCCAAAGCTTACAGCTGTTGCTGTACCTCCTGGGGTTTAGGGTTTAGGGTTTAGGGTTTTAGGATTCTGCTCTTCTGTCTTTAAGGCTCAGATGTTCAGGCTCGTGGACTTGACAATAAAAGGCTTAGGTGTTTGCTCTTTAAGGTCTTGGTCTGTTATCAAACGTGTGGACTACCTTGCTAATTTGGATATCCTAAACCCTAAACCCTAAACCGATATGGGGCTATTTGGCCGCTTAGGTGCCTATGCCCCCGGTAGCAGCTTCCAAGTTTCCTGGAGGTGGGTCCAGAGAACTAACCGATAGCAACCTCCAAGCTTTTCAGGGTTTAGGGTTTAGGGTTTAGGGTAGCAAGCATTCCCACTCTCCAACCCCCTAAACCCTAAACCCACCCTGTGGAATCTCCTGCTCTCCGCCTGAGATACTTCAGGGATGAACCCAGTGTAGGGGCCTGAACATTTAGAACAAGGCTTTGGGGTATATCCTGCTATCTTCAACATAAGGAACCACCGAAACGGTAATTTTTAAGGCCCCCATATTCGCAGTATATTGCTTGTCTGACTCTGAACCCCTCCTAAAAGTTAAACTTTTCGCCTACTTATTATAGTTCGTAGAGAGACCCAATCCTAAGAGCCAACCAGAAGAACGCCAAGCTTAGCCCTAAGCCTTAAACCCTGAACCCTGAACCCCAAATCCCAATGAAACCCTAGCATTAAGGCCCCGATATTAGATCACAAACCGCAGCCCTGAACTCCGAAACATGACCCTTAACCCTGAACCCTAAACCCTGAACCCTAAACCCTACACCCTAAACCCTAAACCCTAAACCCCGAGCCCGCGGAACCCTGAAAGCCTGAGGTTCACCTTTCGGTTCAGGGTTTTAAGGTTTGGGGTTAGGGTTTAAGGTTTAGGGTTTAGGGTTCAGGGTTTAAGGTTTGGGGTTTGGGTTTAGGTTTAGGGTTCAGGTGAAGTTCAGGGTTTAGGGTTTAGGGTTCAGGGTTTAGGTAGGGTTTCGGGTTTAGGGACCGGGGTTTAAGAGGTTGGGGCTTCGGGTGGGGTGCAGGTCCCCCAACTAGTCTTGACTTGAATAGCACGGTTTAGGGTTTAGGGTTTAGGGTTGACACCCATGAGAGGCTCTGAACACGGCAAGCCCTGAACCGTAAACCCTTTCGAGCCTACGCCCTAAACCCTATGCTTGGCTTCTGGGGGTCGGGCGAGGGATAGTTAAAGTTAAAGGGTTTAGGGTTTAGGGTTTAGGTTCCTAATCGCGGGCTCAGAAATCTTTACGATGGACCGGTACGCTTAACCGAGCTTGCTGATGCAATGGTAATGTCTTTTTCAATCGGCCTCTACCAGACCGTAAGTTAAATCTGGAGACCTTGAAACCCTGACCTCCAAACCCTGGAGATGCGGGGGTGTCCTGAAGCCTGAAAGCCAACAGCCTTAACACAAAAAATCCCGGAGCCCTAGAATCCTTTGAAGCTTTCGCGTCTGCCAGAACAAACGCCCTTGCACTCCTACAAGCCCTAAACCCCCTCCTACCCTCAACACTCAACCCTCAACCCTAAGCCCTAAAACCCTAAAGCTCTAAGACCCTAAACCCCTAAAGCCCTAAACCCCTAAAGTCCTAAACCCCCAAACCCTGAACCTTAAGCCCCAAAAACCCTAAAGCTCTAAGACCCTAAACCGCTGAAGCCCTAAACCCCCAAACCCTAAACCCTAAACCCTAAACCCTAAACCGCCAAAGCCCTAATCCCCTAAGCCCCCGAGGATCGCCTGGGTGAGGCCCTGGGCCTGGGTGGAACCAAAAACTTCGGCGCCCGGGACTCGAGCTCAAAAGGAAAATGCGGCGCGCACGGGTTGAGGGTTTAGGAGTTTAGGGGTTTAGGGTTTAGGGGTTTAGGGTTTAGGGGTTTAGGGTTTAGGGTTTCGGGATTAGGGGTTTAGGGGTTTAGGGGATTAGGGGTTTAGGGGTTTAGGGGCAAGCAAAATGGCTCATTTCGGGCTGAGGCCTTTTTTTGGGGTGGGTTAGGGGGTATGAGGGTTTCGTCTCTCACTCTCTCGCACACGGCAGGCAAGGATCCACACAACTCCGCCAGAAACTTCCCAGGGCAAGTTGAGATGAGGATTTAGGGCCAAGCAATATGTATGTATATATATATATACATATATATATATATATATGGCTCATTTCGGGTTGAGGGTTTCTTGTGGGTTAGGGGGTATGAATGAGGGTTAAGGTGTTTCTCATCTAGGTAATAAACGCCGAATATACGCTCACCAAGATTAACCTTCGGGCATGATATGGACATTCTCCTCCCCCAAGTTTGAAGGTATACTCTACTAAACTACCCATAGGCCCCATAGTAGTTCCTTTTTGGGATTACCTTATAGGACTCAAAATATGAATCCCGAAAAGGAACAACTATGGGGCCTATGGGTAGGTTCGGACAGAAACCCTAAACACGGCCCTAAAACCTGAAGCCACAAAATCTTTAACATGACATTGAAATACCCGTCCTAAACCCTAAACCCTAAACCCTAAACCCTAAACCCCCTTAAAATAGTGTTGGTAGTCAATTAGGCCCCATGTTATTCGAATGGTGCAGAAGGCTTCGCACTAAGCTTCGGGAGTGGAACAACTTTAACTGGGGACTCCGAAGCTTAAGCTCCAACTGGGGTTTAGGTTTTCAGGGTTTAGGGGTTTAGGGGTTTAGGGTCTAAGGGTTTAGGGGTTTAGGTTTTCAGATTTTAGGCGGTTCAGGGGCTTCGAGTTTAGGGCTTTAGGGTTTTAGGTTTAGGGTTTCGGGACCCTAAACTCCAACCCTTTCCTCTGCAAACTCCGGATCCCTGGAGGCCTCATCCAGCTGCACTAGCACTGGCTTTGGTCGGTCGTGTGGCTTCGGCGGAACAAACGGCCGCTGCTCCATGCAGTCCTGCCAAGATATGTTAGAGAGGGAGGGAGAGAGAAGGAGAAAGACAAAGAGAGAGAGAGAAAGACAGAGTGTGTGTGTGTGTGTGTGCCTGTGGTTGTCTTACAGTTCGCCTCTCTTGCATCCCTGGTTTGCGGTCTGAAGGTTTTGTGGTTTATCATTTGAGGCTTTGGCCAAAGCTCGAGCATGTCGAACTTAGGGTGGGGCTGTCTGTTTGTGCGGTGCTGGGACAAATTGCTTTTGGCGCTGAAGTGGGCTTTCAAGGCCGCCCTTGGCCCTCAGCTTTAAACTAAAACTTGACGAAATTCTCCCATCACCTGCGTAATATCAGCAAGAAAGGTTCCAGGCAGCACCTGAGCTAATGTCGGGGCCTTGATTATTCCGAATAGGTTTTGGGGTATATTCTGCTATAATTTTAATAAGCAGCCCCACAATAGTGTAGGTATTTCTTCAGGCCCCTATATTACTGCAAAGCCTCCTTTATCAATCCCTGTGCCAGGGCAGCCGTCCTCCAACTCCTGAAGTCGTGCCTCGACAATGCCAGCAAAAATGAAAAGGATCTACATCGGTTTAGGGTTTAGGGGTTTAGGGTTTAGGGGTTTGGGGTTTAGGGTTGAGGGCAAAAATGAAGAGAATCTACATGGGTAGTTCTCTAAACTAGGATCCCTTTTTGGGGTCCCCAACATAGTACGGCACTGTTATAAAAAGGGCCCCAAAAGGGACCCTAATTTGGAGAGCTACCCACATGCGCGCTTGATGAAACTAGAGGTGCCTGATTTAAAGCTGCTGCTCACACGAACCTACAAGCCCTAAACCCTAAACCCTAAACCCTAAAACCCTAAAACCCTAAATCCTACACCCTAAACCCTAAACCCTTTTGGGATCTGTTTTCAGGTTCCTTGTTTCCCAAACTCCTAGACGGGGACCACCCTAAACCCTCAACTGATTGGGTTAGGGTCTAGGGTTTAGGGTGGAGGATTTAGGGTTTAGGGTTTTGGGGAGTGCTGCTGGGCGCGTTCAGCAGCTCCAGGGATAGCTTACCCAGCAATAAACTTTGCACGGCAGGGTCTTGCGGCCAAAATACCTTACATAGTATGTCACACCTTACTTAAAATGCGGGTTCGTAGATTCTTCGCTCGCATTTTGAGATTTGTCAATGGCTTCGAGATAGACCGAGAGTGTTAGTTGGTTCTGCTTGGGCCGATTAGCCTTGGCAGTTGTCTAAACCCGCTTACAAAAGCAGCTACAAAAAGCGACCCCCATGTGGGTAGTTCTCCAAATGAGGGTCGTTTTTAGGTCCCCAAAATATTACGGCACCCTATTGTAACAAGGGCCCAAAGTTAGGGAACTGCCCATGTGGGCCTGGAACCTAATTTGGTATTGAATCGTCTTACCAAGGGAATGCCCAACCCAAAACCCTCAACCCCCAACCAAACCCCAAACCTTGAATCAATCCCTCAACGCCAAACCCTAGCCCCAAACCCGAAACATTTGGACTCGACCCAAACCCTAAATCCCAAACCCTCCACCCAGCAATCGAAACCCGATAACTCAAAAGAAAGGAAAAAAGAAGGAGCCTCCACCTCTAAGCGGCGGAGGGGACATCGCTCCTGCAAGTTACAGGATGTAGAGAGTGTGGGGTTTAGGGCTTAGGGTTTAGGGTGTAGAGTGTGGGGTTTAGGGCTAAGGGCTTAGGGTGTAGAGTGTGGGGTTTAGAGGGTTTGCGGTCTTTGATTGTTCGTTTCTTTGAGCGGGCTGGGATTGGGGTTTAGGGGTTTACGGACAAGCCAAGCAAGGTCTCTGGGTGTGTGGTCGGACCAAGTGACACAACCTCCGACATGTCGTCTGCTTCATAGAAGAATAACCAAAGACTTGATGTCCTAAAACATCTAAAACCGTACCACCTCCTGCAACCAGTCCACAAATTATGGTAACAGCCCGCCCAATCACATTGACTCGCAAATAGTACAAGCGAAACAGCCATGGGCTTAGTGTGATAGCCTTGGTAATTTTGGATTTGGGGGGAAGTACTGCTGATTTTCAGACCGCAGCCTACCCTGAACCCTAAAACCCCTAAACCCTAAAACCCCTAAGCCCTAAAACCCCTAAACCCTAAACTCGAACCTTAGCCGCTCCTCCTTGGCCTCGCGCTTCTCTAGGGCGAGGAGGTCAGCCTGTGCCAGGGTTTAAGTTTCCCTAACCCTCCAGGTACTAACTATATGGGGCCCCAAAGGCTCCAGTACCCTACATACCCAGAGACTCCAATATCCCTTTTGAAAGAATATTCCTTAAACTACAGTAGGATCCTTAATATGATTTAGTTGGTATATTCCGCAATTAAGGGATATTGGAGTCTCTGGGTAGTAGGTGCCAGGGGTTAAGGGTTTAGTGTTCGGCCTCTGTTCGTGTTGAGAGGTCGTCCCCATTGTAGGCTATGATGCTCTACGACAGAGGACTCCTACTAAGGATCCTCAACCCTGGGCCCTAAACCCTTAACCCTATAGACCCTAAACCCTATAAACCCTGGCCCCTTTTTCCTAGACTAGAGTCCTAGACCCTACAACCGTAAGGATTTCTCCGATCTTTATAAACGATCGTTTGAACGGCAGGGGATGCACGTCGAGGCTCAGACCTCCTCTGAGACAGCCTGCCGCAGGCAAAAGCCTCTAATTAAGGGTTGAACAATTAGGGTTTAGGGTTTAGGGTTTTAGCGTTCAGGGTTTTGGGTTTAGGGTTTTAGGGTTTAGGGTCAGGGATCACGCTCTTCCCCAAAACTAAACAGCATCCCACACCTGTCCTAAACAAAATCGGAACCCGACCAGTGGCATAGAGCTACAGCGGAAATGACCCCGAAGTGCTTGGTACATTTCCGTTCTGTCGTTGAAATACCTTGGTTGCTGCAGCCGTGAGGGTCGAAGTACCCGATAATCATAAAACCCCCAAAGACGAACTTACGCTAGTACCCGATCACCTAACCACGCGGTCCTTTGCACCTTGGTAAACGGCTTGTAAAACCCTCATAACATTATATCCCCGCTACACCCTAAACGCTAACACCCTTAGAGGAACCCTGAAAGACTTAAATGAACCCTTACAGGAACTTCAAAAGGATACCTTTAAGGTACTCCTAGAGCCGCCTCCCTCTCCATCTCCATGCGCTTGAAGCGCGCACGCTCGACGGGATCGGTGAAGAAGTCGTAGCTGGCAGGGCAGGGGGAGCCTTAGGCTGTGGACCCGTACAAAACCTGACAAAAGCCTTACGAAACGCTGCACAACCCTTGCAAATCCCTACATTCTAACCGGGTGGGCCTGCTCCGCTCCTCTTGCCACTTCTCTAGCCGCTCCTCGACAACAGTAAAGGATGGGGCCCTGACCCTTGCCCCCGAAACCATACGAAGGTCTAACAGGGAAGGAAAGGAGAGGACGAGAGAGCAAGAGACAAAGACCGTCAGAGAGGAACAACATAAAGTAGCGAGACAAAACACATGTTTGTGTGTGCGAAAACCCAACAAAAGCACGACAAGGCTTCAGTCATCGTTCCGTTTCAGCTTAACGGATCTCCGGGGCACCATAACTTCCCGCGCAACATCCAGCGCACACTATCCAAGGTTTCAAATCACTTCCCGAACTCCCTGTGCTTTAAGTATAATATCCTAGTTTCTGATCCCTCTCGACACCCCTGTAAGGTTGCTTCAGGTCTGAGCTTACCATGGCTTACCCTTTTTGAACGGGGTGTCATATCGTAAAGAAATCCTCTTGTGATCTCTTCATAAATCCTCTGCGGGACTGTCTACAACTCTTTTGAATCGGCAGAAAGGGGACCCCCTCGCTTCGGGCATCTGAAGCCCTCTAAGCACTTCCCCTAAAAGAGCCTGCTTAAAACGGAGGGACCCACAGTTAAGGATGAGAGTGCCGGATTAATACACCCTCCCTACTTTACATAGGTTCTACAATCCTAACGCTTCCTTAAGAAGGTAATTGCTGTCGTAAGAATTTAGGGCCCTTGAAGACAGGATGGTTGTTAATCATTTGTCTACTTCCGTGGAGTCAATGGGTCCTTCTGAGACTGGCGGTAGCGCTCATGCCGCTCTTTCTCCTGCTCGCGCGCTGTGTTTCAAGGCTTTCGGCGCTTCAGTCATGTTCATGAATGAAACGCGTCGTTTCTGCTGAGCCTTGCTGTATCCGTCATATTGTTGAAAATTTGTTTGTACTTGTGAGCTTGGGGCTTAGGGTTTGGGATTTATGGTCCGGGGTCTCGGGGTGGAAGACTTGTTGGAATATGGGCTAGGGGTCATGCGTGCTGGGGCCAACGATGAGGATGATGATGTTCCCACTTTCTGTCCCCGTGGTCCGGGCGAAGAAGAAGAGACTGAGATTTTGTTTACTGGGTTCTTGCTAAGGGACCTCAGGACCTCATGTAATTCCACACAGCCTGGATCTAAAGCAAAGCAAGGTTTCCTTGTTATGGCAACTTAAACTGAATTCCTGAACTAGATCCCAATTCAGAGATTAGTTTGCCCCTGGAACTGCCAGGAGGGGTCTGCGGGCGGGTCATATTTCACTGTTTTGGATGTGGATTATGGTTTGGCATCTGCCGGGTTTCAAATTTGGAGCTTGTGATCCAGAGGATCAAGATTTCCATGAGGTTTAGGATTTGAGGGTCTCGGCTTCAGATGGTTTAAGGCTTAGGGCTTTGCTTTTTGCTTGTCGGTGAATGAAAAGTGCGCCAGTGTCAAGCATTGGGTTTGTTCTTAAACTTCGGACTTGAGTTAACGGTTTGGGGACGAATAGAGGGTAGGTTTTAGGACTACGGGGACCCTGGAGGATATAGACCCTCTCAATAAGGTCCCTTGTAAGAGAGCCACAAGTAGGGTTAAGAAGGGTCCCCTTTGGGGGGGTCTCCCTAATACTACCCAGAGACTCCATTATTCCTTGATTAAGGAATATTCCTTAAATCATATTAAGGATCCTACTATAATTTAAGCAATATTCCTGAAGGGATATTGGAGTCTCTGGGTAAGAGAGGGTTCTGTTAAGCCCGCAACAACACGACGCCTCGAGGGGCACGGTTTAGGGTTTAGGGTTTAGGGTGTAGGGTTTAGAATATTTGCCTAAAAGCGCTAGTCAGGAGTTTTATGTTGTATACTTTGGGGAACGCTAAGAATAAAACTGCTAATTATTCACGGCAGCACTACTATAGTATAACGGAAGGCTGGTCCGGCGTCAACTGCGACGGTTTCGTGATGTTGGTCTCGCGGCTAAGGCTTTGGAATAGAAGTGCTTAGGCTTTTGCGGAGTTATCTGCAGGACTCTCCAAGGATAGGCAAGATGTGCTTTCCGGCTCAGGCAGATGCAGTGGCGATGTCTTCCCATCGGTCAGGTCCTTCCCTCAAGAGGAACTCTGGACCACTTCCCGATGACGCTAGCTGCGCACAAATCTGGCCAGCTTGCCCCAACAGACTGAACGGGGGGCTAAACCTCACTCTGACTCTAATTTAAATTTAAACCCTAAACCCCCAAACCCTAAACTCCAAAACCCTTAAACCCTAAACCCCCAAACCCTAAAGCCCCAAACCCTAAACCCCAAAACCCCTAAACCCTTAAACCCTAAACCCCCAAACCCTAAACTCCAAAACCCTAGACCCGGAAAAACCTGTCCGGCCCGTCCTTCGTCTTCTCGTCCTCCTTTCGCTTCTCCTCTTCTGCCTGAAACAGCGAAGCTTTGCGGAAGCTTACGGTTCGAAATCCCAGCGGTTTGGGGTTTGGGCTTGTTTTTGCGGTTAGGCTCCAGGGTTTATAGAAGTCTAGAGTTTGGGTTTAAGGTTTAGGGTTTAGGGTTTAGGATTTAGGACGTAGGGTTTAGAACCGTGTCCAATGAAAGTGTCAGTTGCGAGTTTCTGAGGCTTCTTGAAACGACACACCCGGGACACCTACTTCTGAGCTTCTTTGTTAGGCAACCCTCAGTCCTCCGTATTGATCATAACGAGCATGGCGACGAATATGGAAGCAAGGAGTCACTGCTCATGACGGTATAGAATTATAGCGGTGCTGATTTGGATAAGCACGATAGTAATAATCTCGGTATATAATTATGGCGGTGCCGAAAGGGATAAGCACGATAGCAATAACCAACAGCTTAAGCAACATTTTCACAACCGCAGAAGTCTCTCAAACTAGTGTGTAATGACGTCGATGATGCTTACAATAGCAAGACTACTAAACCCTTTTGAACGAGATCTCTCTGAAGTGCCTCCAAGCTACTAAACCCTAAACCGCTTAGCCAAATACTGCTTTCCTCCGAACCACGCAGCCGGGGTTTTGCTAAGGTACCCAACATCACGTTGCCCTGTATGTGCTCCGAACCCCAAGCCCTTCGAACAGGGAGTGCAGGAGCCCCCATATATTCTGACATGCTATCCCTTAACCTACCAAAACCTACTTTTTGTAGGTTCTTATCATAAACCCTAATATCGAATTTATAGGGACCCTGCAAAAAAGTAGGTTTTTTGGTAGGGTAAGGTAGGGCTTATGGCTTCTAGGGTATAGTATAGGGCTCAGGGCTATGATGGTTTCAGGTTTGTAGGAGTCTGTTGAAGACTTGTTTATAGGGTTTATAAGGTTTAACGCTAAACCCCCCCAAAAAAACCTAATTCAAGACTTGCTTATAGGGTTTAAGGCTTAACCTTAAATCCCAAAAAAAAACCTAATTCAAGACTTGTTTATAGGGTTTAAGGCTTAACCCTAAATCCCCCCCAAAAAAACTAAACCCTAAACCCTAAACCCTAAATCTCCCCCCAAAAAACTAAACCCTAAACCCTAAACCCTAAACCCTAAATCTCCCCAAAAAAGCCTAAACCGCTGAGGGTACGCACCCAGACTCGGCCTGCCACTTCTCGGCTTCCAGCTTCCTCGCAATGCCATCGTTCAGGTCCTGCTTTTGGGGTTTAGGGTTTAGGGTTTAGGGTTTAGGGTTTAGGGCCCTTTAAATTTAGGGTTGTGGGGTTTGGGGTTTAGGGGTTTAGGGGTTTAGGGGTTTAGGGGTTTTGGGTTTAGGGCCGTTTAGGGGCTTTAGGGGTTTCGGCGCTCACCCTCGCACACTCCAGGCGAGGCATGTGGTTCGAGGCCTGCAATGACGTGAAACACTCATCAAGATGGGTTTAGAGTTTCGGGTTCAACTAAATTAAATTGTGACGCTAGTTTGGTTACACGCCCTGCTTCAAGTGTGCACTAACTAACGTGCTGTGCTTTAGGGCCGCCAAGTCTACAAATGGGGGTTTCCGAAAATAGGGGACTCTAATATGGTACTCTAAATAGTAGGATCCTTATTATAAGGACCCCACAATAAGGTACCCCTTATTTTCGGAAACCTCCAAATGGTACGAGTACCTGCTCCTGGCTTCCTAGACTCTGAACCCTCAGCCCGAAAACCAAGGAACCTAATTCAGTCTCAGGGAGCGGGCGTGATGGCCTGGGCTGTTGGCTGTTGTAGAGCTCAGGGTCTGGGGTTTAAAGTTTCAGGGTGTGGGCCCTAAACCCTAAACCCTAAAACCCTAAACCCTGAACCCTGAAACCTAAACCCTAAACCCTTAGAGCCAAAAAAATAAAGCTCAGCAGCTAGGGGCTACGAGTTGAGGCCTTCCAGAAAGGGGGCGAAAAATATCTTAATAATTAGAATAGGGTTTTGGGGCCCATTCTACGATAATTGTAAGAAGGAGCCCCCAAAACAGCATAAGAAATTTTTTAGGCTTCTATATTATGGAATGTTTCTGCCGAAAAATGTTGGGGCACCGTCCTTCTTGAGTTGCTCTTGACGGGCATGCCTCTTCTTCTGCCGCTTCTCGAGCTCCTGAACATGTTGTAAGAGTTCGATTATTGGGATTCGGGTTTAGGGTTTAGGGATTTAGGGGCGTTGTAGTTAGGCTTAGCGGTTTCGAGCTTTTCGATTACGGCTCGAGGGTGTTGGCTTAGGACCCATCCTCATGATTGAACCTTCAGGTTTGGGTTTGAGTGCTCAGTGGATGGACCCAACCCAAACCCAGAGGAGCTTCACAACCATGCAAAACCCTAAACCCTAAACCCTAAACCCTACCCTAACCCCAAATAGCCTACCTTCGTAAGGACTTATATAAAGAATTCATAGTAAGGAACCCTAAAAAGGTAGGTTCTTTAGGGTCCGGGTATATCCTGAATGGTTTAAGCCCTGGTTGCTCAAATCCCGGTTCCCCCCATCCCAAATCTATCTTTGGGAACCGTGGTAATATAGTAAGACGCTATGTCCGGAAAGGATCAAGGTTGGGTACCTGATAAGCGCTAAACAACATCTAAACCTGCGCACTCCATACTCAGAACCCTCATAAGAACCCAAAACGCCCAAAACCTCAAACTCGCCTTCTGGTGGGCGGTTTCGTCATCCAGAGCTATCTCCAGGGCCTCAAGCGAGGAAGGAGTGGCAAAGCCGCTGAACCCTTTGTTGTATCCGGGCTTGTCCCTAAGGCCCTAAACCCAAAGCATCTTGTTGAATCCTAGAGTACTAAACCCCTTTATGGGCAAGCTACCATTTGAAGAACTTATGTAAAAAAATAGTATGAAGAACCCTGAAAACGAGGTTTAGGGTGCGGGAGTAACCTTACGCCTCAGCAGTTTCTTAGATCTGCGCGGCTATATTCTGGAATTTCGGTTAAGGGGCCACAATAACTAGTAAAGACTCGTAGCCTCTTCATAAAGGTTCCTGAACTCAAAACCGGCCACTAGACTAGACCTTAATGCAGGCATATTCTTTGAAGTATAGCATGGCTTCTTATCATGATTCATGGGTACCCAGCCTCTCTGGGAGAAGCGGAGTCCCTAAGTTCAAGACTGCCCATCTACAGCGCATAGAAGAGGGTTTGGTTTGGGGTTTTGACGCTCGCACTCGGACAAGCCTGGCAAGGTCCATGACTTGGTGGAACTCGTATCCTTCACAAGCTGATCCCTCTTCATGCCTCTAGACTTACAGCGGCACAGACTTCACGGCCTGAACGCGAGCGGAGGCTTTCCTGCCAATCCAGAACTTTCACATGGGTGGTTGTCAAAATTAGGGTCCCTTTTTGGGTCCTTATAATAGTACGGCACCTAATATTTAGGGTACCCAAAAAGGGACCATAATTTTGACAACTACCTACATGCATCTTGTGGCGCTTCCTGCTTTCAGCTGCAAGGCTGCGGGGATCATGAATGCCAAAGCTCCCCAGGCAGCCTCCCCGGATCCAGAAGCCCGACGGGCAGGCATCGGCTGTGCCAGGGCTCATTCTTGCACCGTGGCTTCTGGAGAGGATGGTCGGATAGCCGATCAAAGCGCTGGTCCCGAAACAGCACGCTGGGGAAGCTGCCAAGCTGATAAACAGCTCCGGTCGAGCTTGACCCGACGCAACAGAGCTGTCGGACTTCATCCAGGATTCTCGTCGCTTCCGCTCTCTCAACCAAGGGACTTGCGCCTGTTTAGGGTTTTGACCTGCAGCCCAGAACTGTGTTTCTGGGCCGATAGACAAAATTACAGGCTTTCGTTGAGCTTCTTCGGGGGCAGTGTGGGCCTCAAATCACCAAGTCCGCAAACCCTGCTAAACGTGACAAGTAAAACAATAAACTACCGTGGCAATAATGACTATACTTACTTATAATCACAATACACATAATCACAGCACTCATTAAAAGAGCCTACCAAATAAACACATGAATACAAGAACACAGAAGCCGTTAAGACCCAGAGTCCACCCCCATCGTGCTGACCATCTCTTAGCCCTGCCCTAAACCCTTTTTTTGAACCCAGTCTCTGATCATCAGCTAAATCCTAAACCCGTCCCTTCCTGCGACTGTTTCACAACTTCCGCCACCGACCGGCTGAGGGTTTAGCTGTAGCCCCAAACAACCCTACCTGGATAGAAGGAAATCAGGATAAAGGAACGTTTTTTTGGGGGGGCTCTACGAATGGCTCTATAACAAGAGTTCCAGCTAAGCTTGAAGGGGGGTTTAGGGTGCGGGTTTAAGGTTTGGTGTGCTTCGGGTCTGACTCCACTGTTGCATGTCTCTTCCAGCTCCCCTCTTCGGCAACTCTATAAGTGTCGAGAGTTTAAACCCTAAACCCCTATAAACCTTAAACCCGGAACCAAATGCTAAACCCTAAACCCCCTACACGCCAAACTTCCTCAAGCAAGGCTCGTCGCACTCTGCTTAAAGGATCATGGGACTTAGTAAGTAGGGTTATAATTCAGGTTAACTATACTTATAACCCCAATCAAGAAACTTATAACCTTACTTACTAAGTCCCATGATCCTCCAAGTGTTGGCCCCACAGCCGGAACCCTCTACTTGGAGGATCATGGGACTTAGTAAGTAAGGCTATAAGTACCGTAATTGGGGTTATAACTATAATTACCTTCTTTATAACCCTGGTTACTAAGTCCCATGATCCTCCATGTAGCGCCGAACCCAGAACCCCTGAACTCCAACTCCACGAGCCTGAGGGCTTTGATTGCATCGGGTTTAGAGCTTGAGGATCCCTAAACCCTTAAGTTTCGGGTTCCCTCCACCCTAAACCCAAAAGTTTAAGGTCCCCTAAACTCCAAATCCTAAAACCTAACCCAAAAAGTTTAAGGTTCCCCAAACCCTGAACCCTAAACCCTAACCCAAAAGTTCAGGGTGCCCTAAGCCCTAAACCAAACCCTATAACGCTATGACCCTAAACCCCTTTTTGGGTTTAGGGAATCCGGATGCAGTGCCGAGGGTCTTGGAAAAGCCCTGAAGTGCCGGATGCCGACAGAACGCTCCAGGGCTTAAGGTTTAGGGGTTTAGGGGTTTAGGGTTTCGGGGGTTTTGCGAGATTTTGTGTCTTCAATTATGTAATCTGCTACTCTTTCTGGAGAAGGGGTTTTGCCACCTCGAAGCCCCGCAACCTGAAACCCCTTCTGGAACCCTTAACCCTCATACGAACCCACAAACTTTAGGATGTTTAAGGGACCTTTTAAACGAGCCCTGACTAATTTAGGGAGCCCTCAAGGGAACAAGTTCCTGACCCTGCCTGGATCCGCTCGGCCAGCCTTCGCTCCTTTCAGCACGTTTACAATCTACGGGCAGCCTCTCTTTCAGTTTCCCGGAGACTCCAATATCCCTTAATTCTGGAGTCTTCCTTAATTTGATATTGGAGTCTCTGGTTTGTGGTTTTGACTCTCACACTCGCAGGCCCCACATGGTGAGGTCCAATCTAGTGCCTGACTGACATCTAAGGACTTTAGGAGGGACCCCTAATAGGGACCCTTAATCCCATTACCTTTAAATAGCTTTTGTATAGTCCTTATATACCCCTTATATAGCCAGGTAGTCTCCATACTAAACCCAATAATCTACAAGGGTCCCTACTAAGGGTCCCTCCTAAAGCCCTTAGAGACAACCACCACCAAGCCGAACCCAACTATCCAAGAAGGGCTCGGTTGTTTAGGGTCTAGTACATTCGGGGTCAATGTTTCTGAGTTCTATCTATGTGAGCTTTACAAAGTAGGTTTCTAGTGGTACCAGGGGCAGGCAGGTGAAGTTTTAGGGTGTAGGATGTTGTGCTTAGGGCTACCAGGAAAAAGGGTTCAGGGCCTCCGATCCCTTTTGGGGTCTCTATTGTCAGAAATCTTAAAAAGGAAGCTCTCATCATATTAAAGGACTCCTGCCGGTCAGCGAGACTGGGCAGGCAGCCTGAGAACGATAAAGACAAAAGACAAGTCATAGGCTAGGAAGACCCTGTGCAACGCTAAGGTGAACTACTTCTGCTCGCGCAAGCCCTAAACCCTAAAACCTTGAAGCCCTAAACCCTAAGCCCCTAAACCCCTAAACCGCCTAAAAACCCTAAACCCCTAAACCTTAAACCCCAAACCGAAACTACCATCTGGCGCAACTGGCGCAAATTGCAGGAGCGGAGTACACGAGATGTTGCCCTGCCCTGAACCCTAGGGCCCGAGGGAGCTAAGCAGGACATCCCCAAAGTCTGGACTCCTTGGGGTTTAGGGGTTTAGGGTTTAGGGTTTCTGGACTCTAATCTCCGAGCATCGAGACTAAACCCTAAACCTAATCAACACAAAAGCCCGAAAAGGCAGTGTAGGCCCCTGATTAGTGAGCCTTTTTTTTCTTCAAAGCTCTGATATCAGGATCCGTGTCATGATGCTTAGTTGGGGAACCGGCTTGTCTACATTCCCCAACCCCTCCAGGATAGACAGCGACCGCCCTGAAGTGGCACCCCACGAGCTCGGCATACCCATGTTCTGGGGTGCCGCGTCGCATGCAGTCTTGCTCACGCTACGGAGCTTCGACACCTTCTGCTCGCCCACCAATCTCAGGAAGCGTTCCTCGGTCTCGTCGCCCGGTTCTTCGTCGCTGTCGGCGGCGACATCAGGAAAGGGTACTCAAGGGATCATGAGCCTTAGTGCCTTAGTAACTGGTTGTTGGAAATATTGCAAGCATACTTATTCAAACCCCGAAGAATATCATAACCTTACCTACTCTTATCTACTATGCCCCATGAGCCGTTAAGTAGACCGTGAAGGGTTTCGGGACGCCTTGGGCCTCCATACTTAAACGCCGAATTAACCCGGGCAGTTTCGTCGTTGTGTTGCCTTCGCCTTTCCGGGGACGGGTAAGGTCTGGTTCGGATCTAGCCGGAGGGTGTCGAGGCCTCCGACTTGAAGAACCCAGAGCTCTAAACCCTTGAAATAGGAGTTTCCGAAAACTAGGGGTACCTTTTTGGGGGGTCCTTATAATAAGGATCTTACTGTTTAGGGTACTATATTAGGGTCCCTTATTTTCGGGAACCCCCCAAATACCCGAGTCCTGGCCGAGACCAATACTGAGAGAAGCTGTAAGGACGCAGGCCGGCTGCAGCAGTTTGAATGCAGGTTCCCGTGGCCGATGATCTTTTCGGTGGTGGCGGGCTCCAGGGCAGTGATTCTTGGCTTGAAGTCACGCTGCGGTCGAAACTCCGTGAAGCCCGTCCCAAGATCCCAATTTAAAGCCAAAGGCCTAAGGGCCTCAGCACCGCAAGTCCGAACCCTTAAAACCAAAACCCGAAGTACGTCCCGAAATCTCAAGCCTGCACCAAAAAAAATGCAAGCTTACACTCTCACAAAGGGCAAAGCGAAAGCCACAGAAACCGCTTCATCTGCATCACGGTGCTCTGGCTGGCCTTTTATCTCCCTTCTGAGGCCTGAAAAAACACTAAGACTAAGGGTTTAGGATTTTGGGGTTTAGGGTTCTAATCAAATTACAAAGACCAAAGGTGTCTGAACGGCCAACATCGGAGAAAGGAGCATATCGCAAGCCCGAGCCTGGTATTCCTCCAGTTGGACCTGTGGCAAAGCCCCGAGATCTCGAGTTTAGGGCTTAGGGTTTAGGTTGGACCTGTGGCAAAACCTCGAGATCTCAAGAATTGAATCCTGCTAAGTTTACGGCTTTCGGGTTGAATTGGGATAGAGGTCTGAGTGTTGGATTTGGCGCTCAGGGTGCAGGGTCTCAGGGGTAGGAATTAAGTGTTGGGATTACAGGGTGGCGCTTCAGTTGTAGAGTGGCAGGATTCAGGATAGCAGACGGCTTCCGCGGACTGGGGGTTGTGTGTGCATATGCCTGCTTCTGTGTGTCTGTGTAACTTTAGGTGCAAGGCGTGCGGATGTGTGTTTTGTGTCTCTGGCTATCGGTCTGCCTGGGAGTGAGATCCTACACCCAGCCTGAAGTCCTTAGCCCCAGACTCCAGCTTCCTAACTCAAGTGGCTGCGAGCATCACGGGACGAGGTAGTTATAAGGCTTTAAGTGCTTATCTTGGGGACAGAAGTACATAACCATGTAAGTAAAGCAGCGATGCTCATGATCGTACAGCTACTAAGTCCCATGATCCTTGAAGTAGTCCCGAACTCGGCAGAATCCTCAACCCCACACCCCAAAACCCAACACATGTGAATCCTCAACCTGACTAAACCTTCAACTTTCGCTCTCTTCTTCGACAACCAGGCCCCAAAAAGTTCGAACTTTTTAGCATCGACCTTATATATAGAGCCAAAAAGCTTAAAGTTCACCCATTGGCTATCTAAGATCAATACTTGCAAGACACGTACAAAGCAACATCGAGACAATACATCGCACTCTAAGCGTCGCACTGAGGTTCGAAAATGGAAAAAGTTTGTAGGGTTGAAGAAAGCTTCGCAGGATTGCAGGCTGAGTTTAGGGTTTAGGGCCGTTACAAGAATCCAGCTTTTGACTTTCAAG